TCTAGGTAAGTCTGTCGTTTAATAGATTTGGAAGCTGCCTGGTCTGCATTTCTGCTTGCTCAGGTAAAATTTATCCTTCTCAGAACTCCGATGGTCGGCAACTATGCTGGTAATAGCTTTGTCAGTTTAACAGCAACAAGCAAGACTGCAGCTGCCTTCTCAGTTCTCTTTATGTTTAAAAATCCAGGCCACAGGTCTCCCTCTCCTAGAGCTACTACTAGATCGTGACACAGTTTAACTTGTTATCAGACTCAGAAGAGATAAACTCACAAACAGATTTCAATGTAACTTTCTACTATTCCTTTATTGAAAAGAACTCTATTTACAAAGACTGTCCTCAGTAATCAACTACCTGTATCTCCTGGTGAATTAGATAGAAAGAGGATGTTTTAAGGTATATAAATGTAAGTTATAAAGGTTTGAGGATGAAAAAGCGTATTTAGTGATAAAAAGTGATTTAAGGTGTATAAAAGAATGAACAATGTTTCAGATTTCTTTCTCTCCCTAATATACTGTTATTAAGACTCCAAAAGTTCATAGTCTTAACATTAACCAATGGAGTTCTGATAAGCTGTTAATCTATCTCTGCTAGAGTATCACTACTATTACCATAGTCACAAGCTCAAGATTCTAAATTCCCTTTGGTTGCTTTCTATGTATAGATTTCAAAGTGTTTCTCATTGTGCTAAAAACATATGTCTAATCTATATACATGTTCTGGATAGAGGAAAGAGTGTTAAAGCTTTTAACCAGAATTATTTTAGGGTTCCTTATGATGTGAGTCTACTGCCTTTTTTACAATGTTGATTTCAGTACAGATTATAAACAGTGGGAATGCTACTGTGTCTAAAACTTACCTCTTTTGGTAAACTCAAAAAAAATTCTGAAAATTCTTGTAAGCTCCAGGGAATTGACTTAAATCCACTTAACACAGGTCATCAAATAAACTCCAGATAAGCACTATCAATCAACAGCCCAAGTTTCCCACCTACAGTCTGTTTCTGAGGGTGGGATCTCCCCCACCTTTCCCTGGTCTGGGTCCTCCCCTCCCTTAATTATCAAAACCTAAGAAAAGGTTTCCTCCATAAACTTGTTAACTTTATCTTCTGCTCCACCAGCATACTAACAGGTGTCCTCTCAAAGTCTGCGTCCCGAAGAACAGCTTGAAAATGGCTAGCCCCACATGGTCCAACCTCACGGACTGTTTCAACCAGGCCAGCACTTTCCTAGCCCCTAGCACCAGAGAAGTTCCCACAGAACCTGGACGAGGGAATCAGCCAGCTATCCCAGGACTTGGTAAGCACACCAGCTTTCTCAGGCCCCGCAAGGATGCTGACACCTCAGACAAGAGGAAGCAGTTGAGAAAACACGACATCACCATTCCTGCCTCACCTGCTACCCCTTCCTATGTCCTCACCTTTTTATAATAAATAAAAGGGAGGAGTGTCAGTTTCTTCTGCAGCAGCAGCCTGGCCTGTCTCTGTCGCCAAAGCAGTTACATCATCACCTGTTGCCAGGTGCCTTTCCAGTTAGCTGTGCAACGTGCTCCCTTTAAAAGGGCCCGCCAGAGCACAGCTCACTCTATGGTCTCTTGTTTCTCTTGCCTCCTCTTTTCTCTCTGGCCTCTTCTTTTCCCCACTCCGACATGGCCTTTCCCTCTTTCGCTCTCCCCCTCCCTCAGTAAACCTCTTGCACTGACTCTCTTGTCCATGGTGTATTTGCTCACTGGCACACCTTGGCAGGTCCCCTGAAAGGTACCCACTTTGCTTTCTTGTTTATTTATCTTTTCATCTGTATCTGCATATCTTTAAAAATAAAATTTTGTTTTGGGTTGCCTGTAGTTTTAAATATATGTGCATAAAACATGGTTTTTGCAATAATAGATGTTTTTAAGCTTTAGAGAAATAGTCAAGTCTGTTACTATGTGTGGTGCTCATAGGTTTTCTCAGCTGTCACTTTCCTGTCTTCTAATGCTCCATACTCCCGACCTCCCTAAAAGCATGGCTTGTGTCCTCCCAGACTGCCCCACTGTTGGTGGCTCTCTCTACAGTTTACTGGCTGGGCTCAGGGAATCTCTCTGACACAGGAACGTCTCTCCCTCCTCCCCAGCCTTGCTTCAGATCCTGTCTCTAGGGCACAGACTCTGTCTTCCTGAAGTGTTGAATGTGGCAGCCTGGAGATAAGAGCTCTCATGGGGTGAAGGTTGCCTTTGGAGAAACAGTTGTAGGGAGGAAGCAGTCAGACACATTCTCCATTTCTGCTTAATTTCAGTCACTTCCCTGAGGGTGATTTTTCTATCATTCCAGTGTGCTCAACGTGGAGTGTGGAGGAAACCCTGAGTGTGTTAAGTCCTGAGTGGGTGTGTGTTGTTGACATGTGAGTTGGTCATGTCAAGAATCAATGTTTCAGCCCCAGGGGAGTGTTAAGGACCAATGTCTCAGCTCTATGGGAGCATCAAAGCTCATAGGAAAGGCAAAGCCTTCCTTAGATCTGAGTGTGAATGTTGACATGTGTGCAGAAAATGCCTACCATAGCATTCTCCCCATGATGCACAGCTTTCTCCCTGTGATATTTACTACTTGAAGACTGCTCCCCTACAGAGATGCCTCCTGAGATTAGGTAAGCCTGCCTCCTTATTCAGCTATGTATAATAAACATACTGAGCTTCCAGGGCTGCTGTGGCTCCTCCATGAGAGGGCCCAGATCACCCAAGGGGGGAAAAAAAAAAACAAACAATTTTCAAAGAAATGTGGACATGAGACTTACCTGGGGTGCATTTACAGGAGAATCATCCATTCTTTCTGTTGCTCTTCTCTGAGGTTCTTAGGAACAAAGACTGGAACTTTTTGACATTTCACATCAAGGTGTCAATAGTAAAAAGCTAAAATTAAAACAACCCTGTTACAGACAGTGCTAAAAAAACATAAGAAAACCTCAAAATGAAAAAGATAGCAGAAGTATTGTCAACATTCCTACAGACAGGAAAGCAGGGGAGGATATACTTAGAATTGTGGTAGTATTCTAATTGTACTAAAATGTGATTTTGATTTTATGTTAATAAATAAAGTTGCCCGGGGGTCAGAGCTATTAGAGCCATAGAAAGAGCATGGCGGTGGTGGCACACGCCTTTAATCCCATAGATCTCTGTGTGTTCAGGGATACAGCCAGCATTGGAGACATACGCCTTTAAGACTTAGAGGGCTGTACATACAGACAACCAATGAGAAGGCAGAATGACTTTGAACCGACTGACACACAAGGAAATAGCTCTCTTTCGGGAAGCTGGGACACAGCAGGAGGAAGGGTGAGATTTTAGCTCTGAGCTCTGACCTCTTGGCTTTCTCTTTTACATTGTTTCTGTGTTTCTTATTTAATAAGACGGTTGGATACATCAACATAGAATAATGAATGAAAGTAACTAGATCTTATCATTGCACCCAGAAATGTTGGCTCTTAAAATTCAGAGAAGGAAGTTCACTTGAAGAAAGTTACAACTTAACATAGGTCATGCACTCAAGCAGCACTGAAGAGCATAATTGGAAGTAAACTATACATGTAAAAATCAGAGAAATTATCCATGATAACAGAGGGAATAAAGACATTTTACATAAAGAATAGAAGACAGAGGAAAGCTGGGGGTAACATACCATACCCAAACCCTATAACAATAAGCCATTATTTCTAACTGGAGGGAAGAAAAATACTATCAGTAATTTTACCAATCAGAATATTTTTTAAAGCGTCATTATCAGAAATAAAAGCCCTGTGATATGAAAATTTCAAAAGAAATGGAAATGTCTAAGACAAGGTTCAACAAGATTCTGGGATGAACTCCTAAAGGAACTCGGAAGAAAGGAAACACAGCTGAACAAGGACACATGTGCCACACAGAGACAAGCCATACAGTGCCGAGATATAATGAACAGCATTTGCAGGAAAACTAGGAGGGGAAGATGCATGTGTTCTCCAGTCCAATTTAATCCAGAGGCACAAGAGTGAGCTAGAGAAATCTGAATAAAACAAAGGATAAAAAGGAGATACAGGTAGAAAAAAGACACCAAACTCCTCTACAATGATGATAAAGTCACACATAATATTCTCCACAGACGCCATGGGCAACTCTTAGACTTGACAAGTGTTTTAGCTATTATTGAAAAATACAAAACACACATGATGACTATTTTTCTACAAATCTATGACAATTTGAGAATTAAATTAGAAATTTAACCCACTTAGGTTGCTTCATAAAGATCTAGAAATAAGTTGAAATAATAAAGACTTCACTTTTATGAGGAAAATTTTAATGCACTCAGAAAAAAAGTGAAAAATAAAAGTACACAAGGAAATGGACTGACAGACACTCTGACTGACAAATGACTGGTATAAATGATTATGTTACTAACAGCCTTCAGCAGAATTGATGCAATTCCCAGCAGCAAAATACTGACATTTTTCCCAAAAGTACATATGTAGCCGGGCAGTGGTGGCGCACGCCTTTAATCCCAGCACTCGGGAGGCAGAGGTAGGCGGATCTCTGTGAGTTCGAGGCCAGCCTGGGCTACCAAGTGAGTTCCAGGAAAGGCGCAAAGCTACACAGAGAAACCCTGTCTCAAAAAAACCAAAAAACCAAAAACAACAACAACAACAAAAACCCCCAAAACAAACAAAAAACCCCAAAAGTACATATGGAAACAGTCATGTGATCACAGGAAGAATCATAAACATCAATGTGAGGAGCTCAATCCTTAGAGAAGGTAAGAAAGTTTTCTTCAAATAGAAATTAGGTGGTTGGGAAATTCAGCCTCTGCCAAGGTTTCCCCACCGTAAGTGAGAGAGTGGAATCAACATGCGTTCTCCTCACTCCTTTGCAGCAAAGCCTTCTGCACAAGTACTGAAATGTTTGCTAAGATCCAGGAAAACAAAATATCCAGTTATAGCTCTGCAATGTCACATGCACAAGAACTAATGTAAAGAGAGCCCCTGAAAGGGGAAATAAAATCTCTGCCAATTATTAAAAACAAACCATCAAACAAATAAGAGAGAGAAAACATTTTCTGTAGGACATATCTTGCCAGGCCTGGCCAAATGGACTCCACAGCCACTCAGCCTCCAGGCCAGCCATGTGTGTTTGGGGCTTGTCCTCCCAAGAAAGCTGACTGGAACGCAAAGCCCTCCAGCCCCACTGTCTTTTCCAGGGCCGGGGTCTGGCCTAGCCTGGAGCACAGAAAGGCATCTGAGGCAATACACAATTCCAAGGAACCGTGAGCGGGGCTCTGCTGCTGCAGCATGAGCTAGCTTGGATGCCCCAGGACTTAGTTTTTTGTTTGATTTTTGTTTGTTTTCTCTCACATTGAGAATAATTCAATATAGCCTGATCAATGATGGAATGATGAAATGGGGAAAGATGAAAACAGGCCCAGCTTCTAGCACAGGAACAATTACAAGTAGGACATTTAAGCCAAAGCTGATTAAATTTCCCAAGGTATTGGTCATTCATTATATGGATGTCATTCTCTTCTCTTGCTCACTCAATCAATATTTAAATGAGTGTTTAACTTTCATGGTAAATAAACTAAAAGCAAAATTTAAAATTTTGGGTCATGTCACATCTGCCTGTAACTACGATGGATTTATCTCTGCTTTTTCAAGTTGCTTCTGGAGACACTTGGGTAAATTCTGTAAGAAATGTAACACCTGAAGCTGAGAGTGTTTTTAGGTGATTAAATAATGCTGCTGCTGAAGCAGTATCTCATAGAATCAATCCCTTACTTTCTAATCAATTACTTATCCTACTTTCCTTCCCTTCATTTCTGGTTGGAAATATGTCAAACAGGTAATGGTATTATAGAAATTCATTCATGTCATAATTCTATGCAACAATCTGTAACTCCTTATTTACAAGAAATTATAGACTTAATGAATGGAAAGGACCCATCTAAGAGAATTTACTAATAAAGAGCCTACAGAAACCATCATACCACTAAATAAAATGCAGGTTGATTATTATTTTCATAAAAAATTGGCAGGTTGCAATAGCATGTTACTTGGGATCAATAGATAAATCCCTCTTAATATTGCTTGAAAATACCCCATGGGTATTGCATAAAATTACATAAAACAAATCCTATAGAGATTACATTTAAAGCTTTAACAGATGGCTCTTCAAAAGGACAAGGAACATAGTTTTATATACAAATTCAAATCAGCTTTTATGAGATGTTTCCCAACCACTGAACATTTTAAGTGACTCTGTTGTTTATTTAAATTTGGATGATAGTGTAATGGGTGGACTAAGAAAGAATCAAACTCATCCAGTCACGTTGGGTAGCTACAAAACCCAGTTTGCACATCCTCTCCCAAAATGGCTATCCTGAAGGAAGACTGAGGCTAACATTAACTGACCTTATATATAAATTAGAAGATGAAGGACAGAGAAGCACCTAGAATGGAAACCGACCTAACTGAAGAGGAAATGAATGCTGCAGAAGGATTGTGACTATAGAAAGGATATAATGGAAGGAAACATTTGGAGCGAGGTCTTCAAGGATGGAGTAGTCAACAGAAAGTTTGAACAGATAGGACATAAGTAGCTAGGAGACAGAAACTGAAGAATGGGACAAAAATGGAAAAAGGCTTAGCGTACTACTTCAGCTGAGTTTCTTTGCCTTAAAAATAACAGGTAAAGAACATCCATGGCAGCCTTCCCTACCCCCTTCTTCCTATCTCCTGTGGATCTCATGGATCTTTCCCTTCTTACCACTCCTCTTCTTGTTTTATCCCAGCCCCTAGATCCACAGGCCACACCTGCCAGAAATCCAGGTAGACTCTTGTACATCCTCTCTTCTCCCACTGTTCTTTCAGATCTAATATCCAGTCTCACTGAAGCTCTGCAGCAGAACACCTGTAGCAATCTCCATCTCTCCTAGATCCCACAGATCTTTACCTTCTACTCCCTCTCCCCCTACTCATTGTTTTATCCTGGCCCTCCGCACCAGCAGGTACCCTCTGCAAAGGTACCACAGGCCAGGCATGCCAGAAATTCAAGAAGACTGTCTACTGATCCTCTCCTTAACCCTCTTTTCCCAAGGTCCAATTCCCCAACTCATCCCCAGCTCCACAACAGAACACTTGCTGTAGCCTTTCCCCCGCTGACCACATCTCCTATGGACCCCACAGAACTTCCTGTCCTAACTTCTCTTCCACACTTGTTGCATTATCCCGGCCCCCAACTCCAGCAGGTACTTCTCACTAACCCACCAATCACTCCTGCCAAGAAAGGAGGTGAGCTATCTATAGCTCTTCCCTTCTCCTTCTGTTCTTCTAGCTCAGTGGTTCTCGATCTTAATGCTGTGAGTCTTTAATACAGTTCCTCATATTGTGGTGGCCCCCAAATATAAAGTTATTTTGTTACTATTTTATACCTGTAATTTTGCTACTATTATGAATCATAATGTAAATATCTGATATATAGGATATCTCATATGCAATCTCTATGAAAAAGTCATTCAATTCCATAAGGGGTCAAGACCTACATGTTGAGAACCAGTGGTCCAGATTCAACCCAAGTCTCATGCCCAGTGCTACAGCAGACCTTCTGTGGTGAAGACCCTCTGTGGTGACATCTCTTCATTGTAACCCCCAATCCAAGAAGACAGTTAAGCAAATCCTTGTTGAACACTCTCATCTACTTCTTCCGGCAGATCCTCTCAGAATCCTGGCCTATCTGCATTCCACATTCTTAAGCGTCAGCTGCCATTACCCAGAAACACATTATACTTGGAATCCCCACTGGCCACACCTATCAGGTCAAAAGAAAATCTACTACTAGGCAACACACAGACATCATACTCTTCAAAAATCCAGAGAGAAAACAGAAATCAA